AACGATGGTCATTATGGCCAAACAGTTCTATTTTTGTTTCATCAGACCATAGGACATTTCTCCAAAAAGTACGATCTTTGTCCCCATGTGCAGTTGCAAACCGTAGTCTGGCTTTTTTATGGTGGTTTTGGAGCAGTGGCTTCTTCCTTGCTGAGCGGCCTTTCAGGTTATGTCGATATAGGACTCGTTTTACTGTGGTACCTGTTTCCTCCAGCATCTTCACAAGGTCCTTTGCTGTTGTTCTGGGATTGATTTACACTTTTCGCACCAAAGTACGTTCATCTCTAGGAGACAGAATGCGTCGCCTTCCTGAGCGGTATGGTCCCATGGTGTTTATACTTGCGTACTATTGTTTGTACAGATGAACATGGTACCTTCAGGTGTTTGGAAATTGCTTCCAAGGATGAACCAGACTTGTGGAGGTCTAAAAAAAAAAATCTGAGGTGTTGGCTGATTTTTTTTGCCTATCAGAAGCTTCTAAAGCCATGACATCATTTTCTGGAATTTTCTAAGCTGTTTAAAGGCACAGTCAACTTAGTGTATGTAAACTTCTGACCCACTGGAATTGTGATAGTGAATTATACGTGAAATAATCTAGTCTGTAAACAATTGTTGGTAAACTTACTTGTGTCATGCACAAAGTAGATGTCCTAACTGACTTGCCAAAACTATAGTTTGTTGAGTGGTTGAAAAACGAGTTTTAATGACTCTAACCTAAGTGTATGTAAACTTCCGACTTCAACTGTGTATATATAATATTGAATATACAGTATACATTATGAATATTTGGTATTTTATATATCACTTGCACTTCTAGAGGCCTTAACAAAGGCTTCTAAACTGGCAGTGAATACAGGGCAAAACAGACCAAAGAACATGGCAAATACTAAACCATTAAAGGTTTAAGACTTGCTGCCACTCCAATCTGTCCCGTATACACATTTCATTGTTGTGACTCTACTACTGTACCACATACTGTATCAGTTAAATTGGTACATCACTCTCACTAACCAGTGCAACAAATGTAGCCTCTACATTGTTAATGAAAACAACCCAAGCCCAGCTCAGCTAATCCCTACCATTGTGACGCAGAGTTGTCAAAATGCTTCAGCAAATGTACATTACACCAGGAGCGTCGGTAGACACAATATAAGTAGCCTAATGTATGTCCCTCTAACTGCCTTGAATGCCTCTGCTGATCCTACAGCTATTGTATGCAGTAATCATGTGCCTAAGAACCAGATTTATACTGTTAGCACTGAGCTGGTGTGCCCAAGGAGGAAGTCCACTGTGTGCAGCTCATCCTGCACTAACATAAAGAACATGAGCACATCTACTGCTGCTAAGCTTCCCAGTAAAGCAATAAAAACAAGTAAGCATCCCAGAAGAAAAGTGCTCACAAATTAAGAAACAAGGTTCATGAAATCAATAATTTGCTAGTAACAGATGACATTCATATTCTGACAATCTCTGAAACTCACATAATACCTTTGATGATACAGTGGTAGCAATACAAGGTTATAACATTTACAGAAAAGATAGAACTGCCAATGGTGGAGGTGTTGCTGTTTATATTCAGAACCACATTCCTGTGAAGATTATAGAGGATATCATGTTAAATACTGTTGAAGTAATATGGCTACAGGTTCATCTGCCTCACCTAAAGCCCATTCTGGTGGGAAGCTGCTATAGACCACCAAGTGCTAACAGTCAGTAACTGGATAACATGTGTGAAATGCTTGATCATGTATGTGATATCAATAGAGAGGTATACTTTCTGGGTGATTTAAATATTGACTGGCTTTCATTAGGCTGCCCACTCAAGAGAAAGCTTCAGACTGTAACCAGTGCCTGCAATCTGGTTCAGGTTATCAGTCAACCTACCAGGTAGTTACAAACAGTACAGGAATTAAATAATCAACACATATTGATCATATCTTTACTAATGCTGCAGAGATTTGTTTGAAAGCAGTGATCACAATATAGTAGCAATATCTAGGAAAATCAAAGTTCCAAAGGCTGGATCAGGCACCGGTGGAGCGGACTGCTCTGGCTCCGGAGTGGAGCCGCTGACCGGTGCCGGACCAGGCACCGGTGGAACGGGCACGGGCCGTGCCGGACTGGCGACGCGTATCACTGGCTTGGTGCGAGGAGCAGGAACAGGCCGGGCCGGACTGGCGACGCGCACCACTGGCTTGGTGAGAGGAGCAGGAACAGGCCAGGCCGGACTGGCGACGCGCCCACCGGCTTGGTGCGAGGAGCAGGAACAGGCCGGGCCGGACTGGGAACACGCACCACTGGTGCGGGAAGCAGGTACGGGGCGTACCGGACTGGGAACCGGCACTGGAGGTCTATGACTGTCTCCGTCCTTTACACTCCGCGCCCCGTCCTCCTCCAGTGAGGATTCCTCCTTGAGCCCCCACGAGTGTAGTGGTCGGGGCTCCTCTCTGTCGCTCCCCGACCACCCTTTTAGCCCCCCAAAAAATGTTCTTGGGGCTGTCTCTCCTTCTCCACCCTGATCCCTTTCAGGGCCTCCATCTGCCTTGCCAGATCCTCTCTTATCTCCCGCCAAGTACATACTCTCTGCTCCTCCTGGGTACGCTGCTTGGTCCATTGGTGGTGGGATCTTCTGTCACGTACGTTAAGAGACGGGTCGGACCAAGGTGCAGCGTGAAAGGCGTACATGTTTATTAACTAATAAACACATGACACAATAACCAAAATAACAAACTTAACCGTGACGGTCCAAAGGGCTACCACACAAGCCTAAACAGTAACACAACAAGATCCCACAACACAGGCAGGAAAACTGGCTGCCTAAGTATGATCCCCAATCAGAGACAACGAGCGACAGCTGCCTCTGATTGGGAACCACACCCGGCCAAACATAGAAATACAAACCTAGAATATTCACACCTTGACCAAACTAGCTAGAGTTCTATAGGCCAGGGTGTGACAGTGAGACCATCTTACTAGTTTGCTAGAGAACCAGTTCGGATTTAAGTATAATTTTTGTATGACTGAAGCTTTTAGTGATAGGTCTAATGCTTTAATATTTAATAATTTCTGTCCTCCTAATTCATATTCATTATATAAATAGGCCCGTTTAATTCTGTCTGGCTTGCCGTTCCAAATAAAATGGAATCTTTTTTTCTCATATAATTTAAAAAACTGTTCGCTAGGCGTAGGCAAGACCATAACCAAATAGGTAAACTGGGATAATACTAAAGAGTTAATCAGGGTGATATTTCCACAAATTGACAGGTATTTACCTTTCCATGGTAGCAAGCTCTTATCTATTTTTGCTAACTTTCTATTACATTTTTTGGGAGTGAGATCATTTCTTTCATTTGGGATATGTATTCTGAGTATATCCACATCACCATCAGACCATTTTATTGGCAAGATTAGCAAATTTAGGCATGACATGCCAGCAATAATTGCTGACACTACACATCCAAATTAATCTGACCAAATTATGAAAGACAAGCATTGTAATTTTGAATTCCGTAAAGTGAGTGTGGAAGAGGTGAAAAAAGTATTGTTGTCCATCAACAATGACAAGCCACCGGGGTCTGACAACTTTGATGGAAAATTACTGAGGATAATAGCGGACGATACTGCCACTCCTATTTGCCATATATTCAATGTAAGCCTACTAGAATGTGTGTGCCCCCAGGCTTGGAGGGAAGCAAAAGTTATTCCACTACCTAAAAATAGTAAAGCCCCCTTTACTGGCTCGAATAGCCGACCAATCAGCCTGTTACCAACGCTTAGTAAAGTATTGGGAAAAAAATTGTATTATTTTGCCACAAAAAAGGACTTAGGAAAATTGCAATTGGCTCAGAACAGGGCCGCACGGCTGGCCCTTGGATGTACAGAGAGCTATTTTATTTTTATTTAATTTTTTTATTTAACCTTTATTTAACTAGGCAAGTCAGTTAAGAACAAATTCTTATTTACAATGATGGCCTACACCGGCCAAACCCGGACGACGCTGGACCAATTGTGCGCTGCCCTATGGGACTCCCAATCACGCCGGTTGTGATACAGCCTGGAATCGAACCAGGGGGTCTGTAGTGACGCCTCAAGCACTGAGATGCAGTGCCTTAGACTGCTGCGCGTCTCGGGAGCCCATTAATAATATTAATAATATGCATGTCGATCTCTCCTGGCTCAAAGTGGAGGAGAGATTGACTTCATCACTACTTGTGTTTATGAGAGGTGTTGACATGTTGGGTGCACTGAGCTTTCTGTTTGAGCTACTGGCGCACAGCTCGGTCACCCATGCATACCCCACAAGACATGCCACCAGAGGTCTCTTCACAGTCCCCAAGTCCAGAACAGACTATGGGAGGCGCACAGTACTACATAGAGCCATGACTACATGGAACTCTATTCCACATCAAGTAACTGATGCAAGTAGTAAAATTAGATTAAAAAAACAGATAAGAAAACACCTTATGGAACAGCGGGTACTGTGAAGCAACACAAACATAGGCGCAGACACATGCATACACACACGATAACATACGCACTATACACACACGTACACATGGATTTTTGTACTGTAGATATGTGGTAGTGGTGGAGTAGGGGCCTGAGGGCACACAGTGTGTTGTGAAATCTGGGAATGTATTGTAATGTTTTTTAAATTGTATGAACTGCCTTAATTTTGCTGGACCCCAGGAAGAGTAGCTGCTGCCTTGGCAGCAGCTAATGGAGATCGATTATATATACAAATACAATACAAATACAAATGAACCCACTACAGGGAAGGGTACAGTATTCCGTGGGGTGGAATTACAGTACCATTCAAAATACAGCACTTCTTTACAGTAATGTACTGTTAAACCAAGTTTCTTAGGAATTTTATGGTATCATTTACCAGTTACGCCTAAAATCACCCACAGTGCATTTCGATTTATGGCAATTTATCATTAATATAGTACTTTACTGTTAGTTTTATTGAATAATACTGTAAAAACAACAAGATGCTTTTACAGTGTAGGTCCAGCATCATCAGACCGCCGCATGTCGTTCACCCCGTCTGGCACACGGACCGTTATGCCCTCCAGATCTCTGGATAGGCAGACCTGGCAACCCAGACGAGACCTGCAGGACCGAAGACAGCAGGTACAGGGACAAGGTCATTATACACACTTTATTAACAGGGAACCATGTGGTCAAATCTATTCCCTTCCCACTAGCACCTTGGTTTGGCTCTTTTGGGGTTAAGGCCCAGGCTGGTGTCATGCACTTTGTGACAAAATCATTTATAAAAGAAAAATCTACAAAAATCTAATTTGATGCTACAGACAGTTAAAGCAAACACCAAGTCTTAGAAAAAGTGAATAGACCTTACGTAACATGTTATGTTATCATTCCAAATGTGTGAGTTACTGTGTAAACTGTTTGTCTTAAACTGGGATAGGAGCCATGTGGGTGAAGCACATCCTCATTAGTAGAGAAACCCTCAGTCAGTGTCTGGTATTGATGTGTTCTAGAGAATCATGTTAGACATGTGAAAGGTCAGCCAGGGGAAAACTCTGGCCTTGACCAGGTTACATGACAAATAAATGACAAATAAATGTTACAGACAGACAAGAGTCTCAACTACAAGGAGAAAACACACATTTGATATGCATTATAATCATACTGATTTGATTTGTCACCTGAGGGGAATTAGTACCCTTTTCATACCTAACTAATTATATTCTAATGTGAAGTGAATTGGAAAGAAACAATCATCCTAAATTAGTCAAACTGTGGTTCTCTCTTTAATCTGCTCATGTCACCCGGCAACTGAACCTCTTGATCTCTATTGGCTGGAAGCCTACCTGAAATAATGTGATTTATCAGCAGATTAAGCTGTGGGCCAGGCTCAACATGTTCATAGGTGTTCTGTGTGTGTGTGGGAGAGAGTATATAGTATGTGATGTGTATGCATCAGCAAGCATGTCACTCATTTGTCTGTGAGGCCTTTAATAGGCCAGAATCATCTTCCCACCAATGTGTGTTTTGGAATGAGTGTGTATGTGTGTGTGACTCACGTGTCAGTGAGGCCAAAGGCCAGGTCCAGCATGTCATTCTCCTCATCAGTGATGGGCCCCAGCTGGTTGTACACCTTCTGATCCAGGATCACATGACAGGTGGAACAGGCCAGGGTCCCCTCACACGCACCTGGGAACACACACACACACACACACAAAATCAAACTGTTAAGACACAGCTTATGAAGGTACTATATCAATGTAGCTAATGTACTCAGACCTAGTGAAACGTGCTATATCAATGTAAAGCATTAAATTAATATCAGGTCTGGTTCTGGTTGAATCCCTAGACACTCTGGCGCTGTGCTATCTGGGGGGTTGGGGTTAGGGGGTTAGGGGGTTACTGGTGGGTGGGTGGGTGGGGCATTCTGGCAAACCCCTCCGCCTCCACAATCGCTCCATTCTGAGTAACGGCCGGGGCTCAGACATTATAATGCCTTATTATGTTGGATGCAATTCACTGCAGAGCATAATTCATCCCAGAGATAAGACCTACCCAGTCAGTCCAGCTCCAATTAGTACTGGCCCTTCTGATGGTACTGCTGAGCACCTCTAGCATCTCTCTGTATTGATGCTTGTTAAAGGGCTACAAAGCCCCGGCAAAGCCACAAGCTCTGAATCATCATCATATGGGCTGTATGGATGAGAATTTGATACTTTATTAGGATAACAATGTGACGATGTCAATGATATCCAAATCCATTCTCCATTATGGAGGGTATGTACAGCACAGGGTTGGGTGTTGAAGCTAGGCAGTGTTATGCCTGGGAGGACAAAAGTAGCCATCCTCTAGGGGTTTGAATGTAACACCTTGGAGTTATAGCTATGTATGTTATGTAACGACTGAAGTCTAAACTGGTCTAGACATTTCTGAAGAATGTGCATCGGGGAACTACAAAGGAAGTGGATATAGTAAAACAGACTGTACATTACAGACCAATCTGTACTGGATTAGATAATGAACATTACATATGTACAGTGAGGGAAAAAAGTATTTGATCCCCTACTGATTTTGTACGTTTGCCCACTGACAAAGAAATGATCAGTCTATAATTTTAATGGTAAGTTTATTTGAACAGTGAGAGACAGAATAACAACAAAGAAATACAGAAAAATGCATGTCAAAAATGTTATAAATTGATTTGCATTTTAATGAGGGAAATAAGTATTTGACCCCCTCTCAATCAGAAAGATTTCTGGCTCCCAGGTGTCTTTTATACAGGTAACGAGCTGAGATTAGGAGCACACTCTTAAAGGGAGTGCTCCTAATCTCAGCTTGTTACCTGTATAAAAGACACCTGTCCACAGAAGCAATCAATCAATCAGATTCCAAAAAATCCACCATGGCCAAGACCAAAGAGCTCTCCAAGGATGTCAGGGACAAGATTGTAGACCTACATAAGGCTGGAATGGGCTACAAGATCATCGCCAAGCAGCTTGGTGAGAAGGTGACAACAGTTGGTGCGATTATTCGCAAATGGAAGAAACACAAAATAACTGTCAATCTCCCTCGGCCTGGGGCTCCATGCAAGATCTCATCTCGTGGAGTTGCAATGATCATGAGAACGGTGAGGAATCAGCCCAGAACTACACGGGAGGATCTTGTCAATGATCTCAAGGCAGCTGGGACCATAGTCACCAAGAAAACAATTGGTAACACACTACGCTGTGAAGGACTGAAATCCTGCAGCGCCCGCAAGGTCCCCCTGCTGAAGAAAGCACATATACAGGGCCGTCTGAAGTTTGCCAATGATTCAGAGGAGATCTGGGTGAAAGTGTTGTGGTCAGATGAGACCAAAATCGAGCTCGTTGGCATAATCTCAACTCGCCGTGTTTGGAGGAGGAGGAAAGCTGCCTATGACCCCAAGAACACCATCCCCACCATCAAACATGGAGGTGGAAACATTATGCTTTGGGGGTGTTTTTCTGCTAAGGGCACAGGACAACTTCACCGCATCAAAGGGACAATGGACGGGGCCATGTACCGTCAAAGCTTGGGTGATTTTCCCTCAGCCAGGGCATTGAAAATGGGTCGTGGATGGGTATTCCAGCATGACAATGACCCAAAACACACGGCCAAGGCAACAAAGGAGTGGCTCAAGAAGAAGCACATTAAGGTCCTGGAGTGGCCTAGCCAGTCTCCAGACCTTAATCCCATAGAAAATCTGTGGAGGGAGCTGAAGGTTCGAGTTGCCAAACGTCAGCCTCGAAACCTTAATGACTTGGAGAAGATCTGCAAAGAGGAGTGGAACAAAATCCCTCCTGAGATGTGTGCAAACCTGGTGGCCAACTACAAGAAACGTCTGACCTCTGTGATTGCCAACAAGGTTTTCGCCACCAAGTACAAAGTCATGTTTTGCAGAGGGGTCAAATACTTATTTCCCTCATTAAAATGCAAATCAATTTATAACATTTTTGACATGCGTTTTTCTGGATTTTGTTGTTGTTATTCTGTCTCTCACTGTTCAAATAAACCTACCATTAAAATTATAGACTGATCATGTCGTTGTCAGTGGGAAAACGTACAAAATCAGCAGGGGATCAAATACTTTTTTCCCTCACTGTACATTACAATTTAAATACATTACAATGCACTGTACATTGCTGGCTTAGGATGTTCTGTTTCTAAATTCTTCCAGGTCAAAGGGTGAGGGATGATGTATATCAGGATCTATGGGTAGAGAACAGCCCAGAACAGCCCAGTGGGGAATGACTTGACTGACTTTCCTTTAGTTCATTTGATTGAAATCACAGGATTTACACATCGTATTACCTTTACCCTGCAGTTTCACTGTGAGGAGAGTGAGAGAGAGAGTGGCCAGGGGGTGTGGTTGGAGATAAAACACATTGTTTTGTTCATTTAATGAGACATGGAAATCCAGAAGGCTCAGAGGATCCTGGCACTATGAAGTTCTGAAGCAACCGGATTAATGTCTACTCTAATGCATGGAACAGTTTTTACTGTGAGGAGAGAGGAAGAGGCGAGAGGTTGTGAGAGAGCTTTACACCAGGCCAAGCCATGGGTTGGGTTTGTCCAAAACGCTGTTCCAAGAAATTAGTACAGGTAAAAGCTAAATCACATAGACACCAGTAGCTAAATGCTAACGAGCGAAAACTAACAAACTAATTGCAAAGACAGGCAAATCCAGCTCATAAAGTTATACAAGCATAGCTAGTAGCTACCAAATGTAATTTTCGGTGAGTGTGGATATTTACAAGCGAATGTCAACGACAGAAATTGTGCAACTGAACAAAGTTGTGATGCATGCTTTTCTGAAGGAAAAGCAGAATGTGTACACTGAGCAGAGGGGAGAACAGAGGAGAAAAAACACTAGTAGGAAGCACAGGTAAGAAATGTCAGCTGTACAGATAACTTATCCAGATCTCTTTATAATATAATATGCCATTTAGCAGATGCTTTTATCCAAAGCGACTTACAGTCATGTGCGCATACATTTTTACGTATGGGTGGTCCCGGGGATCGAACCCACTACCCTGGCGTTACAAGCGCCATGCTCTACCAATTGAGCTACAGAGGACCACGTCTGGCAGAAAGCCATTATAAGATATCTGATGGCAAACATTTAGTAGTGAATTGCATACAAGTGTAACTTCATCACCTCATGTGCACCGCACAATAAAGACTAACCAATAGATAGATGTAGAACGCTATGGACTCACCAGCTCCTGCTTTCTCCCGTTGTGCTATTTACAAACAAACACATGACTGGCTCAACTGGGAACTACGGTAAGGTGAAATGAAGAACGCAATCTGCTTTATCTCCTAACGTATTGCACAAGTTGACTGCTGGTATTTATTTAAAATGTAGCTACAAATATGAACATTAATTGAAGAACTTCAAATAAATAGTTTTGACGGTATTGAAAAACCAACCCATGGCTTTTTCCCCAATACCCCGGGTATACGGTGTACCACTAGAGACTAGGAATAGAGGAGCCACCACCAGTGGCCTTCGTTTACTGCTCTCTCTTGCTCTCTCTCTCTCTATTTTTCTCTTTCGCTCTCTCTAGAAAGGGGGGATGAGGAGTCCTGACATCTGCAGGGGAGGACAGAACACCAGACAGGTTTTCCCCCTCTTTCTCTTTCTACGATGGAGTTCTTCCAGGGATCCAGATTGTATCATGTCAATGCCTAAATAGGACAGATGTGCAGGAGAAATGAGCTGAACAGAGGCAGAGAAAGGGAAAGATAGCGCAAGAAAGAAAGCCTTGCAAACATCAAAGGTGATGTTGCTGACGCATATTGTGTTCAACTCCTCTCTTTCTTTCCCTCTCTCTCTCTGCCTCTCTCTGGATAGAATGTTTGATGCTGGGGCTCGTCCATATAAAGCCATGGAAACATTTAGTGGAGGTGCCAGAGGTAACTGGGCAGCATGTTAAAGTGCCACTCTTGGTGAGAAAGTGACAGTCTAACTACACGCCCTAATATGGACATAATGCCATGTCATCCTCTGGCTTCTTCATCAGCTTCTTCTGGGAAATGTGTCTTGGATCTTATCAAATAAACACAGCATCAGAAATATGGACCCACGTTGGCAATTGCCAGGATGCAAACAGTGCATGCACCATATAAAGCACTTTTATTATTATTATTTAGTAGACGCTCTTATCCAGAGCGACTTACAAGAGCAATTAGGGTTAAGTGCCTTGCTCAAGGGCACTTCGACAGAATTTTCACCTAGTTGGCTCGGGGATTAGAACCAGCGACCTTTCGGTTACTGGCACAACGCTCTTAACCACTAAGCTACCTGCCGCCCCACTTATCCAGGACTGTACCCATAAGCCTGCAGACTTCCTCACCTAGGGCTGGCACAATTACCGTATATAACAGGGTAACCGACGGTTATGGATGAAGACCGTCATAACCATTTATTTTTGGTGGAACAAACAGCTGACTGAAGATGGGATGGCTGGGCATTCGTGTGGGTGAGTCCGTTTCTGTGGTAACATGGACTCCTAACAACGTGATGAAACCTTGTTGCTCCTTGCTGAAACAAGGAAGGTGTTGTAGCAAACAAGTCTTCCGTTGCCTATGCAACAGCCCCCTCCCTGCAGCAGCAGCAAACATATAAATATAATGAATAGAACAGGCTTGGAACCTCTAACCCTGGCAATTTGACTGGTAAACTCATGGGTATACTTGCAATGGCTGCCTGGTATTGTGATGCAATAATTTCCATGGTAATGTATACTGAACAAAAATATAAACGCAACATGCAACAATTTCAAAGATTTTACTGAGTTACAGTTCATACAAGAAAATCAGTCAATTGAAATCAATTAATTAGGCCCTAATCTATGGATTTCACATGACTGGGAATACAGATATGCATCTGTTGGTCACAGATACCTTTAAAAAATGGTGACAGCCCTAGGTACACCACACTTACCAAAACCGTCAATATCTAGGTTTTGGTCGACCACCAGTTCTAGAAGACTGTCGCCCTTGGCACCTGAAGTGGTGATCTTCCGCCCATCGTGGTTGACGAAATAGACTGTCACCTTCTCCTCTGACCTAGAGTAGCTGAGAGAGAGTGAATGGGGAGAGAGAGAGAGAGAGAGAGAGAGAGAGAGAGAGAGAGAGAGAGAGAGAGAGAGAGAGAGAGAGAGAGAGAGAGAGAGAGAGAGAGAGAGAACCAGGATAATTCAGGTGTATACATTACTTTTCAGGTGAGCCAAGAATAACATAATACAAAACCTTCACAGGATAAACATTTTGGCCTGCCTTAGAACCCAACTAAAAACGAGTTTGCATGACGTATGTTAGCGGTGCCAGGATATTTTGTTACCTTTGAAGTCTCAAAAGGTAACAAAGTATGCAGGTAATGCATTGGCGTAATGTAGTTTCACTGGACCCCCACAAGGACCCCCACAAGCTGCTGCCAAAATAAAAAAAATAGAATGTGTTAGCCAGACAGCCACTCACAAAGTATAGATTACCGATCGCTGTCAATGATGCTGAAATGTTGACATGTTTATGCGGCTGCATGCCTATTGAATTCATGGTAGGCTTTCTGTGGTGCCAGGGCAATGGATAAATGTTTATTGGTAGGCCTACTGGGTCGTCATTTTCTCATGTTAAGCCTAACAGTTCACAAAGCTATACACGGTGTCGCAATGCTGCCACTTTTAGACTGTTGGCTGGTGGCAATAATGTTATTATTTGTTCAGTAATTAAAGCTGGAAATTCTAACATTGCAGATTGTAAAAATAAATGTTCGATGCAACAGCATATTAATCAGCTACCAATAGATTTTTTTGAATACAACTGGCTACCTGAACCTGCATGACATGAGCCGTCCTCGCGCTCTCTCCCAGCTTGGATAGAAAGTTGTTGTGCGTAAAACCAGTCTATTAATGGCAAATAATACAGTCAGTCCACCCTCAAAACACTGTCTTACTAGGGATTGTTTCATTATTCAGTGTACTATCTATATCTATATACCGTATTTAGCTGCTATTTAGCTGCTATTTATAAACCTTTTACAAAAATTACACCTCAAATAGCCTAACAATGAGGAAAAAAGTAGTCGGCTTGAGGATAAATTCAACCACTATTTATTGTTGAATTTATAGCCTACACAAATGGCCTGCAATATTCAAGGTAAATTCAATTAAATTATATAAATCCAACTTGAGTCTCCCCTGGTCTCCTGAAGTCCTCCTTTTTTGTGTGCTAATTTTTTCTCCACGGCCTGTAGGTCCAAGTTGCAGGACCGACTGTTTTCTATACTGAGTATTGCCAACCCAGACAGTCTTTCCTGAGACATTGTGTATTACACTCAGTGGCCAGTTTATTAGGTATTAGGCTCACTGAAATGGTTCGCTCCTACAGATAGAGTCACGTGGCCATGGCTTGCTATATAAAGTAGGCAAAGAGGCATCCAGTTACTGTTCGGTTGAACGTTAGAATGGGCAAAACGAGTGACTTTGAGTGTGGTATGATCGTTGGTGCCAGGCGCGCCGTTTCCAGTATCTCAGAAATGGACGGCCTCCTGGGAGGGCATCCTGGGCTTTTCACGCACGACAGTGTCTAGGGTTTACCAAGAATGGTGCTCAAACAAAAAACATCCAGTCAGCGGCAGTCCTGTGGGCGACAACAGCTCGTTGATGAGAGGTTGAAGGAGAATGGCAATAATCGTGCAAGCTAACAGGCAGGCTAAAAACAGGCAAATAATGGCGCAGTACAACAGTGGTGTGCAGAACGGCATCTCGGAATGCACAACTCGCCGGTCACAGATAGGCTATTACCGCAGACAACCACACCGGTAGTGTAATGGTGGGGGGAATGTTTTCCTGGAACACGTTAGGTCCTTTGATATCAATTGAGCAACGTTACCATGTCCAGAAGAATTCAGGCTGTTCTGGAGGCATAGGGGGTCCGACGTGGTACTAGATGGGTGTACCTAATAAACTGGCAACTGAGTGTATATGTCCATTGCGCTACACACAATTTAAACTTAGTCTTGAATGATGCATGCCAACATACACTGAGTGTACAAAACATTAAGAACACCTTCCTAATATTGAGTTGCATCCACCCCTATTGCCCTCAGAACAGCCTCAATTCGTCAGGGCATGGACTCTACAAGGTGTCGAAAGCGTTCCACAGGGATGCTGGCCCATGTTGACTCCACTGCTTCCCACAGTTGTGTCAAGTTGGCTGGATGTCCTTTGGGTGGTGGACCATTCTTGATACACACAGGAAACTGATGAGCATGAAAAACCTAGCAGTGTTGCAGTTCTTGACACAAACAGATGCGCCTGACACCTACTACCATACACCGTTCAAAGGCACTTAAATATTTTGTCTTGCCCATTTACCCTTTGAATGGCAAAAATACACAATCCATATCTCAATTGTCTCAAGGCTTATAAATACTTATTTAACTTGTCTCCTCCCCTTCATCTACACTGATTGAAGTGGATTTAACAAGTGAATTCAATAAGGGATCATAGCTTTCACCTGGATTCTCCTGGTCAGTCTGTCATGGAAAGAGCAGGTGTTCATAATATTTTGTATACACAGTGTATACCAGAGATAAGGGACTGTTGATATTGCAACCACAGAACTCAAACGCCGGTTCACCAGCATGAACGAAATCGCAAACCTATTTTTTTGTTCAAGCCCTCAAGAACTGTTGTCCGCTAAAGATGATAATCTTTTTGCATCTGCCAATTTATTGGCTGTCCAGTATCCAGACGACCTGTCCCCGGAGCTTCCTATACAGTTAATCTATTTTCGTAATGTGTTGAGGCCGGCAATTAAGGAGAATGAGAGGCTCAATTAAAGATGTTGCAGAAGTGCTGTATTTGAAGCACCCTTCTGCCCAGTTTCCCTGATGTTGCTACAGCAATCAAGCTGTTTTTACCGTCCCTGTAACTGTCACTTCTGCGGGGAGATCGGTTTCTAAATTAAAACCTTAAACTCATAATGAATTACCTAAGAAGCATTAGGCTCTCGGTCTGATATGGGCTTTTGAACACCTGAGTAAGCTCCACTCACTGCACGGGCGACATCATAGCCTTGACCAAGGCATTTGTTCATCGATATCCCCTTAAACTTTCAATCAGTAAAAAAAAATACTAATCAAGGCCTGAGTCACCTTTTCAGTAACATTCCTGAAGCCCAAGAAACAAAACACTTAGCTTCCTAGCACATATGGAAATTAAAAATATGTATTAATGACTTGAGGTAGTTTTTTTGGGACATTGATGATAGGCACATGGGCCCTGCAGAGCTCGTGGGCACCCCTGCCTTGCGGGGGCTGTGGAGGTGTCTGGTAGTGAGGTAATGCTACCCATACACACGTCATTCACTTCTTTTTCAGTGACATTCTTTCCTAGAATAACAAAAACAAAGTTTCACTGCTATTTAGGCTTTTAGTGGATGGTGGACCAACCATGGTGCTGCTATAGTGCTGTCTGGTCACAGTATCCCTTCATTTTATAGGATTATAGGATATTCTTGAACACTTTACTACATCATCTGAGGAAAGGAACACTGTCTGTTGAGCATCCAACACTGTAGTAGTTTGGTTGCCAGAGCACAGCATCCAAACACCATCCACATAACATACTTTTACAAGGCAGACTGTTTCTGTGTGCTCTACTGTACTGTGTGGGCCAGAGTCTCTGGTTTATAGAGTTAGACAATAAGAACAACACACTTTCTCAGTTTCTACTCTCACATGATGAATCACTGCCATAGGGTTTAACAGCGGTAAAACTAAGAGTTTAATAATGGTCATATCAGTCTATGGTCCTCCCCCCTAAAGCAAACAAACATAGTCTTCATTGTAACCAGACAACTTGGTTAAGGCTTAAGATCAAAGTGTTAATGCTGCTGCCCTAGGCAATATTTGGTTGATTGGCTCCCCTCTTGACGGTGGAGAGAGACCTTTTAGTTTTAAAGTTCATTTCCTGCTATTCTACACATTTTGCAATGGGGCGTAGAGAAAATG